TCGCGCCGCTCTCCTCAGAGTGAGGACCCCAGCAGGGACACGGTCACCATGGGGACTGCCCCATCACAGTGGCCTGCGAGCGCGATGCCGCCTTCATCACAAAGCCCTGGTGCTGGTGGCCATGGGAACACCAGGCCCCTCGTGCTCGCCGCCTCTCCCCACTCCTCAGCAGCTCCCTGGGGCGCAGGATGAGGTGTCCTCTGCCCAGCTCTGCGCTCCCCGGGCCTTGCAGACGCTGCCCTGCCTCTCCTCCTCCTCTCCTCTCCTCCTCCTCTCCTCTCCTCTCCTCTCCTCTCCTCTCCGTCCTCTGCCCAGCTCTGCGCTCCCCGGGCCTTGCAGACGCTGCCCTGCCTCTCCTCCTCCTCTCCTCTCCTCTCCTCTCCTCTCCTCTCCTGTGTATGCTAAACTTTGGAAGTCAACAGAATCCAGGATTTCCACAATACGGTCTTATTTTTTCAGAGGAATACTCATATTCGCACTGAAGTCAATTCATATAGCAGGTATTTTAAAACACTGAGTATCAGCATGCTTTATATTCGGTACCCATGGTCAACGGGGACTTATAAATGTGTTATCAACATACATACAGTAATAATTTGCATGATACTTTCTACTCATTGTTTTCACAAAGGCAAGCATGTCATTCAGCATTATCTGTCACCTGCTTGCAAATATTTAATTTGAATGAAAATTTGCCACAAAATTGCTGTGGGTTTGGGAGTACAAATGAACATTCCAAACATTTTCCACTCCCCTTGCCCCTGTAGTCAAGCATTCAAGCTCTTCAAGTAGGAAACTATACTAGATTCCTCACAAATGCCACCCTACACTGCTCATCTGAAGATACTCATCAGGATTCAGCCTGACACAATCAATGAGAGCCCAATTTGAAAACAGGCAAAATTAGGAAACTGCAGGAAAAATAACAAATCTGCTATGTAGAATCCACTGAATTAAGATATTTAGCTAAGACTTTTCAGGATTTGCCTCTTTCTTTGCTACCAGAGATTTTAATGGAAGGGCATACAACGACAGTATTGTA